TGCATCATTAAAATTTCGGTAGGTAATTAATTCCAACTCCGTACGTAACTGATCGTGGTGGTTATGCTAGGTTCGTGTAGGTTTAAACATATCTATTTAGAAACCTTTAATCAGTAGTAATAAATGTCGTGACTGATCGTGATGCTGAAATTTGAGGGCTCGATTTGTAAATATAAGCCCAGCTAAAATCCGCATATACATTTTAATTGTCAATTTTAGCACAAATCCTAACTCAACCCTAAAAAAGAGGAAAAAATCACCCTCCCAAAATTTAAAATTTAATATCAAAATAAGTCCAAATTTCAGCACCAGTCGCGACAATAAATATTAACCAATTCGTTAAAAGGTGTAACAGTGCGTATGTGTTACTGTACATGTACGTAATTGCATCTGATGAGATAAATAAACGTTCCGCAATTCAGTACATACATATCATCAATAAATTTGATAACTCTATATACCTCACATGCTTTCATTGCTTCAAAATGTCTTTCGTCAAAATGGCAATTATAAAACAGCCAGAAAAAATGATAAGCAATTAGATGATACTAAAATATCCTTCAAAGTTAACCAACAGTATTTAAAAGAAATTATTAAAGAAATGTATTATCTGTATAATAAAGAAGGTTTGAAAGGCAAAAGTTTTTGTTCAACTATTGACACCTTAGAACAATTTCTAATAAAAAGAACGCAAGATCCAAATAAAATTATTAATTATTGCTTATTAACTAACAAATCCGATTATATGGCTCAATTAATTCTTGCAACTTGTTATGAGTATGGCAAATGGGTTAAAAAAGATAATGATAAGGCATTCATTTATTATCAAAAATCTGCAAATATGGGTTGCCCTGCTGGAACAAGAAATGTTGGATATTGTTATCAAGAAGGAATTGGAGTTGAAAAAAATAAACGCAGAGCATTCTTTTATTATACCAAATCTGCACTGATGGGGTACGCTAGTGGAATGATTGATGTTGGATATTGTTATGAAAAAGGAATAGGAGTTCTAAAAGATGAAAGTGGTGCATTCCGTAATTATAGAGAATCTGCAAAGAATGGTAGTGCTATGGGGATGCATCATGTTGGATATTGTTATGAATATGGAGTTGGAGTTAAAGAGGATAAACAAAAGGCTTTTTATTATTATTTGGAAAGTGCCAAATATGGGTATTGCTGTGGAATGCATGGTGTTGGTCGGTGTTATCAGGAAGGGATAGGCGTAAACATAAATAAAAATTTGGCATTTGAATGGTATTTACACTCTGCTGTTACTGAACATGAATGTGATTATAATAACCATTTCCGTTGGATAAAATATGATAATTTTAGAAATATTGAGGAAATAGGTAGAGGTGGGTTTTCCGTAGTGTATAAAACATCATATGGAACGCATGAAGAAGTTGCAATTAAAATAATAAAAGACTCGCATAAAAATAAACAACTTTTTTTAAATGAGGTATATTTTTTTACATATAAATTTATATTGTTTATAAATTAATTAATTGTATACAGTATAACTTTTTATTTTTTATATTTTTATATTGTGTATTTTTAGTTAAAGGCGTATCATGAATTTGGGAAATATTATGGTATATCAATGGATAAAAGTACAGGTGATTTTATTCTAGTGTTAAGTCACGCAAAATTTGGATCATTACGCGAAAACCTTGAAAAAATATTCAAATTCGAGTGGAAAATTAAATTAAGAATATTATATGATATCGCTTATGATCTATCACAAATTCATTCAAAAAACTTTATACATCGAGATTTACATCCTGGTAATATTTTACTAAAAGAAGAATATGAAGCTTATATTACAGATTTAGGTTTAACAATATCGTTTGATGAAAAGCAAGATGGCCATATTTATGGTGTTATACCATATATGGCACCTGAGATCTTAAAGGGAAATCATTTCACTCAAGCTGCTGATATTTACAGTTTGGGAATTATTATGATAGAAATATTAAATGGACGAAGGCCTTTTGATGATCATAATTTTGATGCAGAATTAGCAATAAAGATTTGTTATTGTGGATTGCGACCTGAATTTAATGTAGAGACACCAAAATGTTATATTGAGTTGGCCAAACAATGTATTGACTCAGACATGAAAAAAAGACCTACTGCTGTCGAAATTCTTAACAAACTGAAAAAAATGGGTGGAAATTTTATATTACAATGATGATGAGATTAAACGGCAATTTTTAGAAGCTGATAAATTAATTAAAGAAATGCTAATTATTACGCAAAAGCATGAAAATATTATGTATACTTCAAAACTTATTGATACCAGAGAAATTGTTTCAGAGTTTGAACTAAGTAAAAAAGCCCGTATTGATAATATTGATAGCAATTCAATTTTAATTATTAACAAGGTCATTTAATATAGTGTATATTGAGTGTATTATATTTAATAAAGTTAACTAATTGTATTGAGTTTATTATATTTAATAAAGTTAACTCATTGTACTTAAAAGATATTTCACAGCGTTTTCTTAATAAATTATTAAAAAAAATGGATGATCTGTATAATGATTATTAAATATTGCATAAATAATCAATTAAATTCTGTGGTTCAAATCATTTTTGCAGGTTTCTATCGTAATGGGAAATGGGTTGTGATGGAGATTGATAGAAATGAAAAAGAAATAAACATAATTTATTTTGATAATGTAGAAAATACAAGGAATTGAACAATTTTTCAAGTTTATTTTGAATTAATAAAAATTCGATTTCACGCTGAACATGTTGAAGCTATTGAACAATTTTTCAAGTTTATTTTGAATTAATAAAAATTCGATTTCACGCTAAACTTGTTGAAGCTATTGAAAATTTTTCAAGTCATAAAAACCCATGAAACTTTTTACTAACGAAGTTGAATTAATTGAAAGATATTAACAAATTAGACATCAATTTAAATATGTTTTTATGATTTAATTATGAATCATAAATCATTCATATGCTATTCAATATGAATATAATGGTGGACAAGATAATTTAGTTTATACAACTATAAATGCAATTGTAAGTTCAGAAGTTGTTGTGAGTAAATAATTACTTTCAAGTACCTAAATTAATGGTTCGAAATTTAATTTTTAATTAGTAAAAATAGCTTAGCGACCAAGTGTGTTTATCATAAAAGAAAAAATGATTAAACCCTTTTTCTTTATAATAGAGTTGTGCCAATTGGCTAAAAGTTAATATCCGTATTTTGTACTATGACTTTTTAGGCAATTTGTTATGAGATACTTCAATTGATTATTATGCTTGTGCACACTTTCAATCACTGGCAAAACTTATCAAGAAACATGCTAATCTTTTTTTGATACAGTAACTAGATAGATAATTTATCGGTTTAATTATAGCTGAAAAATAAATATCAGCTAAGATTATTACTCTCGACCTAATTAAATTTGGTTCATCATATCGCGTAAAGTTTTACTAAGAAACAATCAGTTTAACTATTGAAGTTTCTATCATTAACAACAGTATATCGTGAAGAAATCATAATTCAGGCTGATGGTCGCTATTAGGATTTAAATATAGATCAAAATTCAAGTTTTAATTGATTTTTTACTGATCACATTACTGAACATGAATATTAATTAAGTATAAAGCTTGAAATTATTAGATTATAAATAAATTATTACATCGATTAAAGATATAAATTTTAAAAAGCCTTGGAGAATGTAATTTAAGATCCGTATTAATAACATATTTCAGTGCAAGCACAATCAACTGATCTTGCAGCAGCACACGGAGGACAGGACTTATAGCAACCTGAAAAAAACAAAATGTTAACCGAGCTTGAAATATACTGTATTAATTATAAGAATTGCAAGCTACCTGTCTTAATAGTTCTTAAAGTTGGCGCGCATTCTACTTGAATATTGGTTTGGACCATTATGAGCAGAGCCATAGCCAAAAACATGAGAAAATTACGCACTTGAAACATCTACAAAGTTAAGTATTTTCAATTTAAATAACATTAATTTTGGAAATAAAAAAAAACTTTATTCTAATAATAATTGAATATCGCACCATTTTGTGATTTATACCGCGTTGTCTTTTTTTTGAAAATATTATATATGATTTGTACCAAATTAATTTTCTTCTTTAAACTAATCTTGAAAAGGGTCAGAACATTAATCTTTTATAGTTTGACAACGATATACTTTTATAAATTAAATGCCTTTCTCATTTGTTCAAGTAATGAGCTCTGAAGTTTATTAACTAATCATTACGATTATGCGCGAATTAATTTCTTTATCCACAAAATGTAAATTTCGATAATAATAATGTACAACATTTTTTTTATTCGACAAATTAAACTTGCTACGCCACTATTAATAACCAAATAAGTTATTATTTACCAAGCGCCAAGATTAAAATTTTTTTTTTAACTGCATTTAAATTCATTGACAGTTAATTGACTGCATTTAATCTTCATTGTTAAATTATTTAGGCAAAGAATTAAATCGTAAAATCTGTATCTCAAAAAATTGCGAATGGTGTGAGCATTAACAATTTTGATACCACACATCTGTTCATTTTTAATAAGCTTAATCAACCTACTTTATTTGTAAATATCAGTTTATGCAAATTAAATGAATCAAGTAAACTCTGCATATAATTAATCTGTTTGACAAATTTGGTGACAAATTTGATACGGAGTTTAAAAATAATTGGTAATTCTAATTTTACAATGAAATAAGTCTTAATTTTGGTTCTCAACTAAGACTTTACTGCTTTAAATCTTGCGCGATGTTCTATTGTTTCGATTTTAATATTATACTGATTTTTCCTGTTTTTTTCTCATAGTTCTACGAATACATTAAATGCACACTAAATTTCGTTGTTTGGAATGTAATGGGACCTAATTGAGGAAGGTAACCAGATATGTACATATTTTGTCCAGTTTATGTAAACAAGTCTGCATAGCAAGTAACTCTATTTTATTCGAACTGCGGCTAAGCGACTTATAGCAATTTATTTACTATATCCATAATTATGTAGAACTCAATTATCATTTCTGACGACATTTTTAACTGGACAGAATTCTGTGAAAATATCCAAAAATTTTCTAAGAAGCAAGATATCTTCAGAAAATTTTAATAAAAAATGTTATGAGTATAGAACTATGAAATATTTTGCAGAAAATAGTCTACCATTAAATCAGTCTTTTTGGACTGAAAAATGCATACCATAAGGTCAATTTCGAACAAAAAAGTTTATTTATTTGATTTTGACTATTTTCGTTAATTGTGCTAATAAGAACCTGACAAATAAATAACATAGAAATAAATAAAGCTTGTTATAGTGGTTACATTAGTTTAATAAATCATATATTAATTAATTTATTAAAACATGATAGAGACATGACCCGTTGATCTACAACTCGATTATTTGTTTAAAGTGTCCGTATTTATTTTTTTGGTAATCAAGACTGAATAACATGAACAAACAAAAGATTACTGTACTCCAATGTATAACTGTAGATCAGATCTGTTTTTAAGGTATGCAAACCATTCGGATAGGATTTCATAAACTAATTTTTATGATACAGAGAAACGTATCCTATTAGAACCAAGCCCTTGGCAATGTGTATCTAGAAAACAATAAGGAAAACAATAAGAAGAATTGCATTTAGGGTGTTTGGGCCGGGATTTATAAGTACAATCATAGAGGTAATGCTTTGCATTTAGGGAGGTTTTTCCGTATATATATTGCATACATCGTATACGCTATAATATGCGTATCCAAAATATCTGCCCTTGCAAATGTGCGTACTTACATTATGCATATTTGCAGGTGTTCAACAAATTAATAGTCATAAATATAATTAGGGTAATTATGCGAAATAGTCGCATTTAAACCAGTAAGTTATCACGTCAAATTCTTTTGACTACTTTTTTTTATTTAACTTTAATTTGGAGAAGCATGTGACCTTGATTGTAAAAATTACACATAACAATATCTATCGCTATAATAAATTAAAATCTGTAATATAACAGGTTAATTATTAGTATAGTCTCTGTACGCAAGACTATTAAGGGTTTTTAACTGAACATGAATATTATTTAAAGTTTTAAAGTATGTCATATAAATCTTGAAATTATTGAGTTATGAAAATTTTTATTATAAAATTAAAATATATTTGATTAAAACTTATAGCTTCAATTGGAGATACAAATCATAAAAAGTCCCTAATAATAACATTCAGTACAAGCGATATCACATGAAATTCTTTTTACAATAACACCACCACACGGGGGACACGGTTTGCAACCTATAGAAAACAAAAACAAAATATTAACAAAACTTGTCATATATTGTATTACGGATTAATAATTAGGTAATGTTAAAAATTCAAATTACCTGTAAAAGTTGGCGCGCATTCTACTTGAATATTGATTTGGACAATTGTTAGCACAACTATGGCCAAAAACATGAGAAAATCACGTACTCGAAGCATCTACAAAATATTTATTAGCTCAAATAAAATTAATTTGTAATTAAAAACATTATTCTAATAATTGACTACTCACCATTTTGTGATTTATACCGCGTTGTATTTCTTTTAAAAACTATATATAAAATTAGGACTCTTATTTTTCTTTTGAAAATATGCACCTTATCTTTTTCAAAAAGGCCGGAACATTGAACTTTTATAGCTTTGACAATGATACTCTTTTACAACTTAGATGCTCTTCTTATTTGTTCAAGTGATCAATGTTTTGAAGTTATTGACTAATTATTACGCATTAATCATTGTATGCACAAAATGTAAATTTCGACCATAATTATGTACAATATTTTATTATTCGACAAATTCAACTTACTGCGCCATTATTAATAACCATATAAGTTATTATTTACCAGGTGCAAAGGTTAAAATTTTTTTTAATTACATATAATTTATCAAAAATTGATTGAGTTGCATTTTTAATTTTCATTGTTAAACTATTTAAGCAAAGAATTAAATTTCTTTAAAATTGTAACTCTACCAATAATGCATATTTCGCTATGGTGTGAGCATTAGCATTTTTGATGCCATACATTTATTCATTTGTTAATAAGCTTAATCAGCTTACTTTACGGTGACACCAGAGAACCGGTCTTGGCGTGTCGGTCGCTTCTCAAACGGATACGTCGTGTAACCTACGAACGGCTTAGTCGATAAGAGGTGGTTAGATTTGGCGAGTGGTGTGTTTATGATCGTAGGTTTTAGGAATCTAGCGAAGGTAGGGAATCATTAGGGACAAACTTCATTACAAGCACGAACTAAAGTGTCCTTGTAGGGCGCGAAGTCTTTATTATATACTGTTATATTACATATGCGCTCCTACAGCTATTAAACATACTAAACTTATTATTTATCGTATATACCTTTAATGTCCTATACTACTTAAATTCCCGATATACTATATATCCCTTTACTTATAGTTCTTCCTTAAAACCCTTATCACCGCTATTACTCTTATAATCGCTAAACGACTTTTAAGAGCGATAATCCCGGGAAGCCCATTTTAGGTAGATGATCAACATAGCCGTTGATTGTTACTGCGTCACATCGACACCTCCTTCCACATGCTCCCGAGATCACATTTCACGGCTCACAACGGTTTATGCAAGTTTATGCAAGAGAAATGAATCAAGCAAATTCTGCATCCAATTGATTAGCGTATGCAAGTTTAGTACTAAGGATGGAAACCAAATCCGGTATTTATCTAATAATATCCCATTCAGGTTTAGTTTACATCACTATTTAGCACAAAACGTAACTTTAACAATCTTAATTTTGCCCATCAACTAATACTTTGTTTCTTTAAATGTTGTGAAATAGGTTCGATTTCACGTTATACTTGACATTGCAAATTTTTATTTGTTTAATGTAGTTCTATGAATTCATTAATTTTGTTGTCTGGAACGTAATGAGGACTTAATAGGAGAGAGCAACCAGAAGTGTATGTGTTTGGTCCAGTTATCTAAATAAGTCTGCATTTATGGAACAAGTCATTCCATTTTTATTCTAACTGTGACTAAGAGCCTTATTGCAATTTGTTACTACATCAACAACTATGTATAATTCAATAAGTTAAATAATCCTTTATTTTCCATTGCTGCTAATGTTCATCTATAATGACAGAATTCTGTGAAAAATTCAAAAGTTTTTATTTTTTCTCGAGATTATTTGATTGAAAATGTGGTCAGTGTCTGTTGTCTCAGCAACTGTAGCGAATATATATATATCTTCATATACTATATTGGGGATCAGTTATAGGTTTTAAAATGGGTGAAATGTGTATCGTACATGTCATATATTTATTTCATAGACGAATCAATTCATGGACAAATTTGATAAATTTATTTTATAGACATTTCATTCACCAATAAGTATAAATTATAATTTGCCATAATATTATTTGTTAGTGAAATAAGCTGTCAATTAAATGAACCTGTTTGTGAAATAAATAAGCTTGTCTGTGAGCTAAATTGTTTTTGAAGTGACTTCGATGAATGAGCAGCACCGGTTTACGGAAGTGATGGGTTATTACCCTTTATAACCCATCACTAGTTTACGTGTGTTTAATAGTGAGATTTCGGCATGTGAAGAACTAAATTACATATAGAAAGGGTGCTACTGATAATTTTTAAAAATAAAAATTAGAAATATGTGATGATCTAAAAAAAGTCTTGTGTTGGCAATAATTTGGATCGATCATAATAACAAATAAAGACAGCAAAGAAGCACAATATTATGGTCTTCACAAACAACGATATTTTGCAATTTGAAACTTCTTGCATTTCTTGCAACAAGTACGCAAAGTGACCGCTTATTTTGGATGCGAGAAATATTAATGATATTCCAAAATGTAATATAAAACCAACCACTTACAAGTT